TGCGTGTTAAGCCCCTCTCCCTCATTTCATAACGGTCATTCGACTTCAAACGTTGCACTCTCAAAAGACGCCTATCTCTCGCGCACATAACCCGGTTGCCGGTAGACATCTTTCTCAAAATTGAACGAAGGGAAGTTGAAAAATGAAAGAAAAAGAGAACTGAGGTATGTAGCATTTTACGGAACCCAGTATTCTCAGAAATGCCGCGTAGCAAAATATCTTTTGTCAAAATTCTCCTTTCAGCTGGATTGCACCATCGCGCAAATATATGCGTGTGTAAACAAAAAACTGCGTTGCATCTAGAAACATGTCAACAGAGCCCTGTATACATAGACAGCTAAACACACCAGCCATAATTAGATCATTTCCAAGGAGCTACGGAGACATCGAGACAAGCAGTGTTCACAAAGGGGTCCGGGAATACATAAAAGCCACCAGCTCTACGCACGCACAGGCTCTCATAGGCCCGATGCCTTGAAATAGCGCAAAGAAAAAGCAAACTAGTTTAGGTCCTAGGAACAACCAAGCAACTGATGAGCGGTAAAGGAATCTACGGAATCGGCGGGCCCTGGACGTTCTTTGTACGAGGACCAGACGTCGGAAGGTGGGATTCCAGGGAGGGCCTATAGGACGTCAGAGGCTATGCCTCCAGCGCAACGCTGTCATGTCTCAGGGCTTTGAACCGACATTAAACAAAACCCTGGTATATTGCTGTGAGGACAGGCAGGGGCATTTTCTATGCTTTTTGTGCGAGGCCAGAAATCCCTGCCGTGTTTAGATTTTCATCTTTTCTTCAAAATAACTCTGAGCCCTGTTTCAGAATAATTACTATTGAGTCACCTTATTGAGCCTACTTGCTATTGAGTCACCACTAACCTTCACCGAGCAACCTCTAAAAAGCCACATTAGGATAAACGTCGCAGTGACCTCTGGTGAAGTATTTCTTACGTGCTTCGACATGCATTTCCAAAAAGTGTCGGGAGGTAAAAGACATACCTTATTTATAAAATCTCAGAAAAAGTCATAATAACAGGTTACGAAGCTGTGCGAGAGGTTTATACGCTTCAAGCTCGAATGAGCTGGTTAAGTATTCACTGTACACAGTACCAGACGATATCTAAGCGCGTATGAAATGTCTATTACGTCTTTTCTCCAACCCCTTGATTGACATTCTCATAGGTTGATACGCAACTGGTACCAAAGAAACCAGCGCGCACAACTCTGTCATTTGTTGTGATCTGGGGTCAAGCATTTCGTACTTTACCTGGCGTTTCAAATGTGCTGTGAGGGCTCACGTAACAAGCGCTGCGCAGCGTGGGTGGTCATCTCAAAAGTCCATCAAATCAGAGGGTTGTTTTAACCAAATTTGCAGAAAAAAATGTTTGCCCGTTGGCAGGAGATCACCCACTTCATGGAGCAGAGAGGCTAAGGGTACTCTGAGAGGACGGGGAAGGGAAGGAGAGCAATAAAAAGAGAGAGAGAGAGAGAGAGAGAGAGAGAGAGGGAGAGAGAGAGGGAGAAAAGGCCGGGGAATGGCCCCAGAGTAACTAAGCGGGTAAGATGTTCTCCGGGAGAATCAGCACGGAGACAAACGTGAGCAAGTCGTTCCTTACCTGCGAGCCCGTGTTTCTCTCAGCTCGGTGGGGACGGTGGCGACCTGGCTCTCATTGACGGCTCCTCCTCTTCCCTCCCGATGTTATAGTTGCGGTCTTCAAACTTCATCACATGAGTGCGAAGGACGCTGTGCTGTCCCAGCATCTAGTTTTCAGCACGCGTTGTCCAGTGCCGGCTCAGGATCCCCCACCGCGGCATAAACAAACCATTGAAAAGTGGACCACCGCCACACGTACTGAAATGGGGAGTGGAACAGTTGGTGAGGAATTTCCTCTGAGGAGTTGAGCCATGTTCCGCAGGACCCGATGCAGAAGCTAGATTGTCCGGCTCTCATCCAGTCAATTGAAAGTCTGGTCGATGTCGAAGGGTTATGGCCAAGGTGTTCAGTGCTGATAACACGCCTGTCACAGATTCTCTTATTCCTAAAGGCTCTCGGTATGATGTAGGGTGCCTGAAGCAATGCTCCTGCATGAACAGCGCAAATGCTGCCTTTAAACAGTAAGCTTTGCAGGTTGTGGTTTAGAACATGGGAACTTACGATTACTTTAACTGTAACGGAAACTGGATGCGGTATTGGATTACCGGATTTTTTGTATTTCTCGTTTCTATTCAAGCCTTGGATACAAGCTTATATTCATAAAAGGATGCGCTTGTTAATGAGTGAAAGAAGATGTGGTGCTGGAAGAAATATATGATAAACATGAGCATTGGTTTTCTACGTTTTATTTATACTACATAAAATGATACATTATCTGAATGATGTATAAGTACGGTATCTCCTATAGGACTGCGGCATGGGGAAATGACGGGCAATTTTGTATCGTATGTCAGGATATCTAGAACCGAGGGAGTTGATAAACTTGTTCATAATCCAGAAAAGAAACATAAACCGCACTGTATTTACAGAAAAAAGGATTTTTTATATAATTTAGCTTTGAATTCCCAGCCTGACGGCCAAGGACTAATTCAGTACATCACATTCCTCGTACATGTCCTGCCAGAGCATAGCTTCCTCAAAGCTGGATCAAGATTTTCTGGTTTCTGACCATATCGGTTTGGTACGCTTGTACAACAGGCCCAGTTTGTTCATTCATGATATAAAAGCGTGATGTGAAATGTAATGGCAGATTCAGCCGCATTTTGTTCGAATTAAGGATGGTAACAGAATAAGCGTGTTCGTAGTATGTGATAGTTGAAGTCCCCAAAAGTTGTGTCGTGTGGCACTATTCATGCTTCATGCGTTCATTTAGCAGGAGTAAGCTTCATGAACCGACTTCCATGTTTTTTGACATTGGGACTCACGTATTCATATATATATATATATATATATATATATATATATATATATATATATATATATATATATACATGTGGTGCACTTGCTTGCCGCGCCCACTAACGGCCATATTCGTATATCACAATATACTAGGCACACGAGAATGAACACGGTTCAAAAGTGCATCCAAAACAGTCATGTGCCTGGTATTAATAGCATTTAATCATTAATAATAATACTAGTTGCCAACTGAATATTACTATAATTATTAAGATTTCAAAAAGACAATGATTTTTTTCAATGATTTTTTTTCAATGAATAGTGTCATACGACACAACTATTGGGGACTACAGCTAGCAACCCGCCCAGCACTTCCACCAAAGCAGGTAGAGAGCAGCATTCGTGTCGAGCACGTTCGGAGTGACAACAGTCGCCGCGAACTATTAACACGCCCATCCCTGAAAGAGCCGTGGTGATCTCGTGCCAATCCACTGAGCAAGACGCTCTCCAAACCATTGCTGACAGATGTGGCGGATACCAGCTTCTGGAATGGCGATGAATCGCCCCGCATATTCCTCAATTGTTAAGCAGACAGACTTTACGACGGTCCATTACGCCGACTGAAGTTTCATTTGGGGTGCCCCGCTGACGCGCCTCCAAAAGATTCTCATTTGCCACCCCCGGTCCCCGCACGCGAAACGTTTCGAGCTCGGCGGCCATTGTCCTGCTCAGTTGGAAATTTATCTGATGTGGCCCTCGTAGATGCTGCAATAAGTTGTGAAATAGCTACATCGAGCAAAGGAACGTCGACGATTAGAGTCAGCAGCTTGTCACGTCTGTTGAATGCGGGGGACAAACGAACATGGGAGGCGCCGGGCTTTGAACGCGAAACATCGGCGCTGGGTTCTACGCGTGCTCCCGATATTTTTGGGTTTGATTACATCACACTAAAGTTGGCTTCAAGCAGCAGCACCGACACAGTCTTCTCAAGGCATTTCGGTGTTTTGAGGAGACTACGTAGAATAGCTCGCCGCGTATATATGCTGTTCTTGCACACTAGACATTAACAAAAAGTTCACTTATTGCCAGCGTCTCCAACAAGACAAAGTTGTCTTTAGACTGACCACGGCTCGCGCCGATCGAAGCGCTTTCGCAGCCGAACAAACAAGATTCCTATCTCGCCGAGCGCGGCACCTATCTGCTCCAAAACTCGCACCTCTTTATCTCGCCGACGAGGCCACTTTGCTCCGGCGGCGCCGACGATAGCCGGACGCGTTCTGCGTCGGGGCCGACGCGGAGGTCGTTTGCGCGCCGACGCCGGCGGTGGCCGGCCGCCTCGAACCGATCGCCATATACAAGCCGATACGGCGCCGGCCGATCGCCCGGGGCACAAACAGTGATCGAGCTGTGAGACATGGGCCGATAATACGGCTGCAGCGGGCGGACGGGTCTGGCCGGTCGGCGCTGCCGCCCGGGGCGGCTCTGGGGGCCATGGTGCGCGCCCTCCTGCGCCGGAGGACGCCGTTTTCGGCGACTGTGGGGGGCTCGGCGGGAGCGGGAGGGGGCGAGGATGTTGATCGGCTGGTGGACTCAGAACTACAGCAGATGGGTCTCAGAGAGCACGGATGGGTCATGGTCAGTGGGGGATAACGGATGGGATCACGCAACGGGGAGCACAGGGACCAAAGCCTTGCCCAGTCCGGCCAGTGTTACAGATAAGGGAACTGACGGGGCTGGAGCTCCCCTCATTTTCGCAGCATTGCGCGGCACGGCGCCGTTCCAAGCGGGCGTCGCAATGGTGGTGTCCGAACCGCGAAGGTCACTGAGGTCACGGACGAGGAAGGCTCCTCACGTCCTCGCCGGCTCGGTGGCGACTTCGTAACGGTGGTTCAAAGCCACCTTACACATTGCCATCGGTGGTGGCGAAAATACCCCTGGACGTCAGCGGGTACCGCATCTCGAAGACGCATCTCTAGCGGCAGTGCTCCCCCGTCGCCCGGTACCAGCCCAGTGCGCCGGCGAGGTGCGCCCAGCGGCGTCAGCGGCGCCGCTGCTCCGCGCGCCGCAGCTGAGGGCGTCGGCGCCGCTGACGGCCGCCCGGCGGCGCCAGTGCCGCCATGGAGTGGGTGCCGGCCGACGCCCGCCTGCTCCGCTCCTGCTCGCTGCCGTCGCTGGCCGGCGGCGCGGCCGACTCGGGCGTCGACTCGGAGCCGCCGAGCGGCGCCGCCATCGAGCCGCTGCGGCCGCGGCCCTCCCGCCGGCACGCGCTCGCCGCCACCATCGCGCAGCACTACTACCTCGAGGGACACTGGGGCTGGGTGGTGGCGCTCTGCCACGCCCTCGTCAACGTGCTGGTGCACGGTCTGCAGAGCAGCTTCGGTGTGATGGCGGCTCCCGCGGCCGAGGAGTTTCGGCGGCCTCCGTTGACGGTCGGTGAGTGAGCCGAACGGGCTGAGGAGCAACGAACGGAATCCTGGTGGATTTACGCCGACATGCTTATCTGAATTGTAATGCGATGTTGATGCACGTTTGGCCGATAGCGGAGTTCGTAAGAGTAGATAGCAAGAAAGGTATTGAGCAGTACGTACGATGTGTTGCAGGGTACAGACGTGGGTACAGCTCTGTATCGTGTCGAGGGTCTTTTTTGCATTCCCTCCTTGTTGGTTTCTGTCCCTTAGTTTCTCTTCCACTCCTCCGTTAATGTCACTTAGATGAGGTCATGCTTTGGACACAACTTCAGCAGGACAATGTGTCACATGCGTGCGTACGTAAGAACTGTTTTGCAATGGTGAACTCTCCCTGACGTCTAAAATAGCAAACCCTTGTCGTATTTTACTGGGCTTATTTTGTTAATGCTTCCATCCTGCAATAATCAACATGTCGCCTATTTAAACCGCAGGAGGGCATTTTTTAACATGCCGGATGTGTGTAATTCGGCAAACCTATGCATCAATGACTTAGTCAGTTTATGGAGCAGCGCAGTAGCTGTTTTGTCTATACACAATAAGTATGTGCTTGAGCGACACATACATTGGTTGCCCAATAAGAAGGCATTTGACATCATCCATGACCTGATTGGCTAAAACTTTCAAAACAAGGTTTACCCGAAGCATGGTGAGGAAGTAGTGGCTAGTGTGTGCTTAAAAACGACCACCGTGGGTATTTCGCGACATGTTTCCAAACCTTAGAGCGCAACAAGGTGATTCCTCTCGTGTTTAAAACGGACGGCACATTTAGTCGTCAGTCAACATGTTTCGTTCTCCTCGTTAGACGACACATTTAGAACTTACAGGCATTCAAACATGTCTACAGTTTGCATGCATTTCATAGGAAGCGATATGCTTTGTGCACGATTAAAAGATGCCTGTTCCCTGCAGTGCGCTCACGAACTCTGGGAATTATAGCATAATTGACTTCCTGTTTGATTTGACGGTACGGCCAAGCAAAAACAACACATGTCTTTTTTTCTCACTGCGTACGTTTCTCAAACTGGAAACTTCATTTGCTTACGATGCTGTGCCGAAGCTCAAAGGGCAACAAACGAATCGCTACCATTTTCCCTCACATTATGTGCACGATTGAGCGTCACCATGCGTTCGGCGAGTAGGACGGTGTACATCAAGGGATAGCGCTGTTGCAAGTTATATACTGCAGCAGCAACCCAAGGCATTGCTCCTGTCGCTTATGCGTGGTTTGAAGCCGTTCGTATTCAGAGCAGCTTGCACTGTAAGGAGTGATAGGCCACAGAGTGTACATTGATATGCAAAGCGTGTGAATGGTAGACCAGAATAAGATACTTGTAGTTAAGCGACAAAATGATAAAAACAGTCAGGCTCCATGACGTTTAAGGTCAGTTGTCAAGCTGCAAATTAATCTATCCAGAATAAGCTCTGCGCTGAATCTTATTAAGATTTAGAGTCCCAATGGCAACATTTGAACAGGACGCCAATAATAGAGAGCTTAAATGCCGAGGTGCTGGTCGTATTGAACGCTAACGTCGCATTGAAACCACTTGTCGATGACGTCGTATTGAAACCAAGTGACAAGGTATAACGCCAAAATATGAGATGCCAGTATGTGCTCACATTTCGTCACCAGTACTTCACAGAGCTTGCTGATTTGTTTCTAGGTACTCAAAAGCTTTTTGCTACTTGAAGCACAGCATAGGCGTGGAGAAGCGCTGTGCATACGCGTGCATAGATTACGTCACATATACCACACTGAACACAGTTTTCACGTTACTGAACTTTGGTGCAGGTGCACCTCTGATTTGTGGAGCCCATCAGATCATCTCTCGCGTACCCAAATCTTCCTTGTCTGCTTTAGGACGTTTGTTATGAGTTTATATAACCGGTGATGCCTTCATAGGATTCTTGGCAAGGTAGAGAGTAGCACAAAACAGACCTTTGTAACAATGTTTTTGTGTACAGGACGAAGAGATTGATGTCGCTGGATTAGTGATGTCGCTGATAGTAAAGTTGTTCTTGATGTCATGTACACAAACAGACGATTATCATCGTAACTATTAAGCACCAATCGTCAAGAGATCGTGATCATAAGCACAGGGCTACCGATAGTGTGGTGGCTAAGCTGCGTATCTGGGAAAGCAGGGGTAGGGGGTTCAACTTCCCACTGCGTCCGCCCTTCCTGCCAGGGTGAGAGGCAGGCGACACCTTATAGCCTGAGCAGCTAAGAGCGTCGTAAAGCTCTAATAACGATTGTCATAAGCACGATTTGAAAAGTCGATAGCTGTCAACACGTCAATGTTTGCTTTGTAAAGTCGTTTAACCAGTACTTCCTGGAATACTGAAGGCCGATAACTCAGCAGAAGACCACCGAACTCGTAGTGCCGAAATAATTTTGCTTTCATTGTAGCGTCGTGCTCAAGTCCTCGGTGTTGATCTGTCTCCCTCAATTGTTCTGTTGCATATCTAACTCCTCGTCTATGACGTTGGCTATTGTGGCACTTTCTCTGAGACCTTGCGCCAAGAGCTGGCGAGCAAGCAGGTGACCCCACCGTCGTGACAGTGAATATGACCTCCAAGATTGACCACCGTTATCATTTGCTCAACAAAGGCTGGAAGTAAATGACCACTTAATAGCCACTCTTACACTACCTATGGGCAGGGTGAATAGGCACATTATGGGTACACTGAGTATATACTTAAGTGTCCGAATTAGTGCATGCACGACATAGCCAGGCTTATCAGACAACGTGCTCATTGGCAGCAGGGGTGAGATCTGAGCGTAAAGGAGGGAACGGCTGGACACTCGGCAGGGATGGTTTCCCTCTTTCAGCCACTGCAGAGGACGCCTGTTTTTGCGTGCACCTGGCCGTCCCGTTTTCTGCAGACGCGCGTTGGCGCGCGCGTTTTTACCTGTCGACCACCTATTCATGGCCGACGCATGCCAGCTCAAGAACAATGGCAAGGGATGCTGGTGCACCAGACGGTCATTGGCGCGATCAGTCATCCGCGCCAACACGCGCTCACATTCTTGGCGTGGCTCGCCCAGCGGGCGGCGTGGCCAGCTGAGGGATCCTTCCCAGGAGACGAGATGAATAAAGGGGCGTTATCAGTGGGTGTGGTTATCAAGCGGGCGTCGCAAAAGCATTATCAAACTAATTGCTAGAGGCTGTCAACCAGTGGTGAGAAATCAGGGACAATTGTGACCGACAAGCTTTGTCAATGTATGGTAGCCCAATGTAGCAAATCCAGCAGCGCGATCGAGGCAACGTACACTGATTTTGGTTGTACAGTACGTGCTGACAGAGTTGACAAACCACTCGCGTCGTTCCAGCGCATGCCTTTCCTTTAATACAGTGGGGAATCGTTATGTACAAAACTGTTCTCCACCGGGATTTCCCACGCCCAGATGTGTATTCAGTCTCTTCGCCTAAACGCCCTGCCATGCTACAACTTTTCTTCAAGCTACAGACCAAATAAGTATGCGATCTATTATAGGCTGCAATCGCGCTCCAAATGCAGGCGCGCTCACCGACTTTTCTCAGGAGTGAGTTTGGGCAGGAATGGCCCAAGAGGAGCACTTATGCAGCAGCGCTGGACCCTCACAGCAGCTTTCCTTTCTCATGTTGCGCTTTGGTCTGCCGTGCAGTGATCACTGTGGAAGTTCACACTGTCGCGAATCTCATTTTTTTTTCTTAATGCTCTGGTTCACTGCTTTTGCCACCGAAGGAGGTGTAGGGGCCAGTATCCCCATCCGCTCGTGAGCACCACTGGCTCTTATCTGTCCTGTGGCTATTAACTGGTTTGATTTGTACTCAAAGGAACTTACTAGCTTCCTATTTTACCAGATTTGCTTTGATACAATGCTGCGGCAATGCAGCATTACCTTGTCTTCTCCAAAATAAGAGCCAGCACCGCTATGGGTAACTTACTTGCGGTCAAAACGCCAGCAAGTTACCAACACACATGCTGCCGTAGCTTTCACCCTTCCGTCAGGCACGTAGCAGTTATCGGGGGCCGTTAGCGACAGATACTACGTGATACACGAGAACAGCTGTTCGGGAAGCTGCTGATAGTTTTCAGTCGATGGCGCCGGTGATATAGACGGTAATAAATTAGGAGTTATGTGCACGACCTCTGCTGGCTGCCATCTCACTGATTGCAGCACTTTCCAGGCGCTGGACCGCCAAATAATGACGTGTCTGTCAGCTGACTATGTTCAGTGCGCCCGGAACCCGACCTGGGAGACGTATTATGCTGGCGGAAAGCAACAAAATTAAAGGGATTGTACGTGTTTTTCATAACAATGGAGTTTATTCTAGAATCAGTAGATTAAGGCGGCAGAAATCAAATGGTGGGAATCATTCAATAAAAATGTCCTAATCTGTGCGATGTAACGTTCAAAATGCGGGATCACGCCACCGCGTGCCTGAGTTGTTTTAGAGTGGCTTGAGTCATTTACTACTTTATTCATAAGATGTACGTAAGTTTATTCATAAGACTTCTGCTGCGCAGAATACGTAGTTTTCTTTTAAACTGGTAGTGACACCTAGTTGTCCGTACGGTAGTATTGAACAATGGGCTTGATCAAGTGCACCATTTTGTCCACCAGCATCAAACATGCCTACTTTTCAGATGATAATAGGTCCAAAGATTTCACGCTTTCACGGGAAGTGGTGTGGCTCACTTACAGCTGAAATAAATGCATAGGACAGCATTTCACTCTAAGAAGGAAACCCATAAACACAGAAACCCCATTTAAACAATTTAGTTTTTAAAAATGCTATGCACTATATTGTTGAGGTTTTTGTTCGGAGCAGCTTTGGTGTGTTTTTGCTGAAACTGACGGTGTGAGCCGTCTTCAGAAATGTTCCCCGGCTTAATCAATGGTAGAGTTAAAAGCACAAGTAAAGATCGTTCGAGCCCTATGCACATTTAATTTCACATGTACGAGTACCCGTCCAGTGAAAAATGTCGGCAAAAGAAACACTGAATGGCCTAGGCATTTCGGAGAAGCGTACTACTGCATATACTACTCTCCGGGACCGTGAGCTCCAACGCTCTCCGTCGTCTCGCCCGTACTCCGTCCCACATCGTCCCTCTCCGGGATCTTGAGCCCCGATGCTATCCGTCGTCTTCGCCCGTACTCCGTCCCACATCGTCCCTCTCCGGGATCTTGAGCCCCGATGCTATCCGTCGTCTCCCCCGGACTTTGTCCCACATCGTCCCTCTCCGGGATCTTGAGCCCCGATGCTATCCGTCGTCTCGCCCGGACTTCGTCCCATATCGTCCCTCTCCGGGACCGTGAGTTCCTGCCCGGCCCGTCGTCCCACTCGGACCCTTCCCAGATCGCGGCTACTCTTTGTGACGGCCGAGCGCTGTCGGCGGCGATAAACTCCGGTGCAGGCGGTAATACGAGGCCGGCGCGACGGCCGGGCCATGGCAGCCAGCCGGCGACGGCGGCGGCAGCGGCCGAGCGCCGCGCCGCTGGGCCCGGGCGCCGCGCCGCTGCGGCCGGACGCCGCGCCGCTGGGGCCGGGCGCCGCTGCGGCCGAGCGTCGCGCCGCTGGGGTCGGGCGCCGCGCCGCTGCGGCCGAGCGCCGCGCCGCTGCGACCAGGTGCTGCGCCGCTGGGGCCAGCGCTGGCCGCTGCCGTCGCCACTGAAGCCAGCGGGCTCAGCTCCGGCGACGTGCCGGACTAGGCCACCGGCGCACTGTCGGCGATTCGGGGCCGGCGGAGCCAGCTGCGGCTGAAGAGACGGTCGTCGGCACGCGGCGTCAGTGGCTGGATGCTGGCCCGACCCGGGGAAAAGAGGGACAAGGAGGAGGGCTAGTCTCTCTTCGGAGAAGGACTAAGGCCGGGGGGCCGGCACGTTCCGGTACAGTGGGGAGGGGAGGCGTGGCTCGAGCATATTCGACAGTGTGCCTGAGACTGGTTATGAGGCCTGGAAAGAGATCGTGCTGTGGCGACGTATGAATGCAGCTTCACCAAAATTTTCGCCAAATGATACGAGCGTCTGAGAATATATTTGGATTTGACGATGGATTTTGCAATGACGGATTTGCTTATATATCATTCGGCTGCGTTGAACGCTCCCAACGAAGCTTACAACCGTGCTTCAGACTACATTTTTGGAAAAGGCGCCTTCGTTGCTGTGAAAGGTTTCCTGACGAGTGTATTTTACTTTGAGAGGTTATACATTAATACGGCCCTCACATCACGCTCAGCAATGCATTCTCAGGTCGGAAATATATAATACGGAAATAAAAAAACGTGGAAGGGTATCGGCAGATCAAGGCGAGTTAAACTACATGTGATGTCGCATAATTCCTTTCGTTTTTCGTTAGTTGCAGGCATGCTACCAACAGAAGCATGCAGCGATATGTCAAACACGCGCCGGGCCACTGCTAAGTCGCCTTTCTTTGATTGGGCGGAAAATTGTGCCGCTACTTAGCGCATCAGATGACACTTGAAGGAATTTTCATCGAACGCTGTGGGATGTCAACATTGGCGTTCGGCACTTTGTCATGCTGTGGCTTTCATGAAGTTTAAAAACCTGCGAGTTATTTCATTTAGCCTGAACTTTTGAGTCTGGCAAGTCAATATGCTGATATGCACTGGGTTTTCCAATCTAGTGGTATCTTATGTTCTGATTAGCGAAGTAGGTCAATTGGTCCTGGATATTAAAGCTGCCTCCCCCAGCACAAAAGAAGCAAAGGCCGAGCAGCCGCCGGCTCATAACGCAGCTTTAACTCACTTCCTTCAATGTCAGTGTGAGTCATACAGCTGTCAGGACAGTTCATCGCAGCTCAAGGACAAATAGACTTGTAGGATCATTTCAAAGTCTACAGCACTGATGCAAATGATTTGGTCCACGAGAGTGATCAGCGGGAAAACTGCACAGTTTGATTAAAGATAGGCTAACGAGAACATGGCAGTATTATATCTTCAGCGTGGCGGCTGACCAGCATCGGATAGGGGGGGGGGGGGGGGCTGAGACCTGCGCAGTGGCGCCACATAGCTGACCGACGGGGTAGGGGCAATTGGCGACGCGTCAGTTGACATAACCCCACGTGGTTAATGAGAATGAGCACGGATATTTGCGGACTACATCATTTTGTCGACAGCAGAGACGAAGAGCGGCATATCTGACACTCTCTGGTGGACTTCCTTCGCCGTGCTGCGCCTTGGTACCGCTTGTGAGCGTGCGCAGCGTTGCCGGGTGCCTCGCTGATCGCCTTTCGTACCTGTATTCGGGGCCGCCTGCCGGCGTGCTCCACCTCGCTGACCGTCTTCCCGCCTGTGCTCGAGGCCGCCTGCGGGCGTGCTCCACCTCGCTGACCGCCTTCCGTACCTGTATTCGGGGCCGCCTGCAGGCGTGCTCCACCTCGCTGACCGCCTCCCGCGCCTGGGCTCGAGGCCGCCTGCCGGCGTGCTCCACCTCGCTGACCGCCTCCCGCGACTGGGCTCGAGGCCGCCTGCGAGCGTGCTCCACCTCGCTGACCGCCTCCCGCGCCTGGGCTCGAGGTCGCCTGCGGGCGTGCTCCACCTCGCTGACCGCCTCCCGCGCCTGTGCTCGAGGCCGCCTGCGGGCGTGCTCCACCTCGCTGACCGCCTCCCGCGTCTGTGCCCTGCAGGCTGGCTGGGCGCCATGTCGATAGCGCTCTCCTGGCTGCTGTCGCCGCTCACCATCGCCATCTGCCGGCGCAAGTCCACCCGGCTGACGGCTGTGCTCGGGGGTCTGGTCGCCGCGCTCGGCATCCTCTTCAGTTCCTTCGCGTCTCGCTTCCACCAGCTGTTCATCTCGTACGGAACCATATTCGGTAAGCAAAGACGACTCCAGTCATCGCATTACGCTGGTTGCGTCACAATCGCAAGAGTTCACTCAAAGTGTGGGGGGGGGGGGGGCGGCAGAAGCGATGTTGAAGCACGTTTTAATCGCTGTCTTGCTTGAATTTGCATCACTGTCCTCGGCCCATGCAATGTTCAATAGGTCGAGGGAAACGTTGAATTTTTATAAGGTTGTGAAGAGCTTCCTGCAGCATCACTCGTCTTTCTGGCTTAACTCCCTTGGCGTGGGTTTTGTCAGGTGGTGGACCATACGCAATGGCTTGTCGGCAGTCGCCAGAGTTCGGTGGTAGATGGCGCGCGTTGCAGCAGTGAGCGCGGGAGTGTGGGACTCCGTGCTCGTGGTGCTGCGATCTCACCGCAACTGTTTACCGCAGCGCACACTCGTGCAAGCATGGCAGCATATTTATACATGATTCGTAAAAAGATAATGAACACTCAGGGACCGTTTACACGACTGTAAAGCCGTTTTGGGTAACTCAGGGACCGTCCACACGACTGCGCTGTCGTTTCGGGTGACTCGTCGCTATGGTTACGCCCTTGATGCTGTACATAAAGCCGAATGGTGTGAAGACAATGTCCGGATACGGGTTGACGGGTGAAGGCCGGCTTGGTTGCCATTTTCCTTCCTGCCACGGATGCTGGACTTCCTGGCTAGCTTTACCAGCAGTTGTGCTGGATATCCGATAGTGAGATAAAGTCTTTGTTCAGCACAAGTCGTGAAGAGCCGCGAAGGAAGCATTGCCTTCAGTCGGTTTGTTCCAGCAACGATTCACGGTCGGCTTAGGACCAACGGCTTTGTCCCCCTCCCCTTCCTCCCTTCATGGCTAACTGATTGAAAACTTCATGGTAAGAGATGGTCTTTTGCCGTCGTAGTTCAGGCTGGTTTATACCCTGAATGTAAACACGAAGCATGCAATTTTTAAAGAAACCAGCAATATTAAAGGGAGTCTTAAACCCGAGCCACGGATCGCGAGACACGATCTCGCTTAACAGAATTGGGCGTCTACCAAACCAGATTATCATGTCCAATGTGCTGAAGTCCCAGAGGACAGGCTGGGTTATAAGTGTATGTTGATTTTTATCTTGACATGCACACGCATGCTGTCGCAGATCCACATAGGCACGTGTGATTGTGAGGCCACATATTGTAGATAAACTAAACTAGACCAGACTGAAATAATTGATCACGTAGATTGAGTAACCGTGGCTCCAGGTCTTACGATGACGATGAGGTTTCTAGGGCCCGAGCGATGGCGTTTTCGGGTTATTACAATAATGCGATGCAGCTTGGGGGCTTCGATTTCATTGCTCTCGCGACATTTGTCGGTGTCTTCTAGACACATCATGCCAGTTCGCTGTTGCTGAGATGTGACATGAGACCCATGACCCGTGACTTGACCTTCTGGCACCGATTGCCTTTTCCGCGTCTCGGAACGTACTCCCACCGGTCACATCGGGCCGGTCCTGTTGACCCGCGGCCCTGCCGGCAGCGGTGGGCGTCTCTATGACCCGGGACGCGTCCACGCTGATGGTGGGCCAGTACTTCAAGCGGCGTCGCGAGCTGGTGGAGACGGTCGTCATGTCGGGCAGCGGCGTCGGGCTGGCGCTCATGTCCGCGCTGCTTCAGGGCGCCATACAGTGAGTGGTTGGCCCAGTCACCTGTCACTTGCCACCCGTCTGAGACTTTCCTCTTTGAGTGACACCAGGGAATGGGCACAGCAGTGGTTTGATTATTTTATTCCTATGATTCCCAGTAAAAGAGCCTGAAAAAAGAATATAGGCGAACCTTGACTCCCAGTGCACTGACTTTCACCTTGGAGCTCAGTGAATTCGGCTAAAGCTTAGTGTGAAGGACACATATGTAGAATTGAGCAGGGCCATTTTAGAAAGCCGTTTTTTGTGTTTACTATGTAACGTCTACCAATCATGAAAGCCCGCGTCTATGGCAGGCCATGCATGGGTGGTGGTGCCGAGCCTGACGTATTTGTCTCACGTGCTCCCTTCACTCATAGTTTTGTGAGGTGCAGCGCGGCGAGTGTCTCCCAGCCCTGACAGCGCTCTCCCAGCATCCGCCAGCTCATGTCCAGCTCCGTGTGCTCGTCGGCAGGGCGGCCGGCTGGCGCCTGGGCCTCCAGGCCGTCACCGGGGTCATAGTGCTCACCTGTCTGCTGGGCACCTTCTACCGGTCCGCCTCGCTGTATCACCCGCAGCGCAGGGCCATCCTCCACTTGAAGCACTCCAAGAAAAAGGTGGGCCGTCACTGACCCACGGGTCGCCGCTGTAGTCACAAAAGAAAGGGAAGGTCCACCATAAGCAAGGATAAAACCAAGCTCTAACGAGGTGCCATATGTTCGTACGCATGCAGGTAAAAATGCATAGGTACGTTCTCATCCGTGTGCTATGGAGCCGAAACATCATTCTATTGATACTGTCAGATCACCAGTGCGTCACGCTTTCTGCGTGCGCAGCTCAAGAGCGCCGCGCGACCTCCGGCAGGTGAAGGGCAAGACCAAGGTGGAAGACAAGCCGCCGTTCCTCGACTTCTCGATGCTGAGGTCGAGGACGGTGCGGGTGCTGCTCGTCTCCACCAGCCTCAGCTCCCTGGGCCTGCACACGCCGCTCATATACCTGGTCAGTCATCACAGCGGCCGGCGCACGCCGAAGCGGCGCCGCTCTGCAGGCTGCCACGGAGCGGCACAAGGGCGCAGATGACATGATGTAGCGTCCCGCGCGCTTTAATTGCACACAGAGCAGCTTCTGCCACATTGTCACAACTCACAAGTTCGTTCGCGACAGGACCCGGGAGTAGCGAAGGCTCTTTTGTAACTAGAGAAGGAGAAATCGTTTCACCAGCGGGATCCGGAACAGCTGCATGGCAGTGTTGGGGCTGTCACATAAAGCCCATTTGTTTTACAACTTGTATGGAAAGGTTTTTATTTCCTACCGGTTCGTTGCGCAGTTTCAAGTATTGATTGCGAGCGTGGCCTTACAGAGGATGAGTTGGTAATGTGGTATGATCCGTTAAGAAACTTAAGAGTGTAAAATGCTTTGGACCTTTCGGGGTAGAACTTAAGAAACAAATCTTTATTGGCCGAGACAGAGCTTTCCAAGCTAGTTGCAAAGCAGTGCGATTAAGTTGACAGAGAAAGCAGGCATGTACTGTCATTGTTTCAATTACGACAATGCTCCGAAGCTGGTGTGTTCGGGTGCTGCCTGACGCGGAAGTAACAGTTTTTTTTCTGTAACAAGAAGTAGCGCCGATATAACCAACTTTCCAATGAAAGCTAATATTAACTTGCGTTGTGAGACTAGCAGCCATGTAAACAAGATTTAAATATACAGAAGATATATCCACTGTTCCTTGCAGATCCGTCTGGTTGCGATTCATTTGCTGTAAACGTAGGCTACAAGATCCCGATTCCAAGTGTACTTTGCTGCGTCATTCATAGCCGTAGCCGATATCAGTTTTGATGAACGGAATGTGAATTTGATTTCGACATAAAATGCAAAGCAAAACCAATCCAATGTTTCTTGTTTTGGTCCATTAATTACACTTTCAATGACAGCAATTGCATGGTGAATTGACTGTGATTTATTTGCGAGGGTGATAGGTTACAAACAAAACATTGGCGTTGACACTGCTAGGCGTTTTGCATGAGACTTCGCGAAAGGCCACGTATGTGACAGCCCACAGAGACTCTATGGCATGGAACATAACTGAATACCCACACATCATGCTCCAGTCATAGCGACTCAAGCCTGCCTTGACCTGACCGTGGCAACGCCATGGGAACGCTCTCTTGTTGAGGCTGTACCCATCGTACCGGTCAGCGCTCCTGTCGGCTGCCACTGCCTCCGTTGTGAGCTTCACGGCTCGCGCTGTAGAAGGGCTGGGCTGGGCACACCCGTTTTCAGAAACACGTGGAGCAATCCCTGGAGTTCGCTATCATCCGTGCCTCTTACATGGTATGTCACTGTACCCTGCCACCCAACCGAGGTTCACCATCACCATCTATGTCATGAAGAACCTCGTGTGGCAGTCTCGCCGTCTGTGTTCTGAGGCTGTTTTTCGGGCGTTCGTAAGTTCTGATTGGCCCCGGCAGGTGGTGCTTGCGAGCTGTCCTGACCGGGGCGGCGGCATCCGAACATAAAGCCGAACATAAAAAGTTGAGTGGGAAAACTTGAACGAAAAATCCAAAGAAAAAGTTAACAGGGATAGACGTCGACGTCGACAGTATGGTTTATGAAATAACGGGTCGGAACCAAAGATCCAAGATCTTATTTTCAGAAGGGGGAAGCGGGAGCTAGGACCAAGCATTGGTAACCAGGGCGCATGCCTATCCAACATTGGATTAACGAACGGACGGATCTGGTGGGCACGGGCACGGGCACCGCACCGCCGTTGTGCGTCGCCTCCTGCTGTAGGCGCCTGTGTCTCTCGTCACCGTCCCAAAAAATCGCTAGACAGGGAATTTTCATGGGCATTGATCGAAGCTAGCGGCGTACCCACAGCAGAGTGGTCCCGTGGTAGCCTTAGGGGCGTGTTCAGTACGGCTTGGTGGTAAAGTTTCGAAGGCGGCGGTCCTGCGAGGAGCGCTCGCTGTTTGAGTGCGGTTGTGCCCAATTTTGAGGTAAATATGACCTCATGAGCATAATCACGGCGTAACACATTGAATTCTGTCAACACAATGTTTGCCCTATAACGTCATTTAATGCTTGTCCGATGGTGTATTAAAGGTCGATGACTCAGCATAAGACCTTTGAATTCATAGCGCCGAAAAACCAGAAGCTGCAGGCCTGTCGTGTCTATATCGACTTTTTGTTATTCGTGTTTTATTCCTGTTGGCTCTTTGTCCGTTCCAATGTTGTGTACTGCTGTCGAGTTTGATTCCTTCAGCTTTTCTCTCGCTCTGGCTTTTATCCCCATTGACTTTTGAGACTTTCTCCAACTCTAATTATATTCTCGTTCATTTTTTTCCCGTTGACTTTTTCCGACTCAACCGACTTTGTTCAACTTCATCCCTGTTGACTTTTATACCTTTTGTCTTTTTGGCGCGCAACATTTTTTCTATTCGACTTCCATTCTGGATAACTTTAATCCTTTTGAAACTATTCGCGCTCTTCTTTTTCGTGCGACTTTTTCCACTCGGCTTTTCCCCAAGTGGGAACCCAAGGTTACTGAGTGGGAACCCAAGGTTACCGACTCAGCCCTGACATGCTCATCCAAGCCACCAGCACGGCCTGTACGATGTCTTCCGGACACGCCATTACTGCGTTTCTGTCCATCTTGCTCTCCAACATGTTCAGTGAATTGCCAGCCAGGCGTTGCCGCCTCCTCTGGTCGCCAATGTGCCGTGACGCGTCCACGAGGTCAATCCGAGCCCCGATAGCGACCACGGGCCACCTACTCACCGATGACTTAACATGCCAGTGTGCTCAGGTCGACACCGGGACACCACCCAAACGGCTTTGCGATTGGGAGAGAGAATGCTTAAGACTTGTACCAGTGTGCCTGGCGACGCTGGTCAACCTGCGCTGACTAAAGTGGTGCAGTAGTGAATTGACAGCACCCCGTCGGGCAGCCACCAGGCTGTGCCAGGGGCGCTGTCCCACAAGTTGAATGGTTGGACCACGGGGCCGATCACCTGGGCCAGCCCCATTGGAGATATATGGGCCTGTTGAGAAGTCGACGACACGTCCGTGGACCCCATTCGCGTCCATGTGGTGTGACGAGTTCCCTGACCTGCCGGGTGATGTCTGGTCCGCCTCAGCAAGAGCCTGTCGCTGCTGTATCGTTGCGTTAAGTTGTGTGTTGAGCAGTGATGGCAACAGCGTCACCACGTAGGAGCGCAACGTAAGCCGAACACGTAAGCCGAACCAGACACGCTGGTACACGGCTGATAGCTTCCGCCTCCGGTGGTTTCGTGGCTGGACCGTGCCGCAGCGTCGAGCTGACCGTCGTCGAGCTATGGCACGGTGCGTGGTCCGTGCCGGCGTGTCCACCGTGTTCGCTATCAAGAGTCAAAGTGACCTTGCGGGCATCCTCCGGAACATACGTGACCACGTTAGAGAGCAATGCCAAACGCCGACGGGAAAGCCACTGGACTCGGTCGGGGGACAGCCTGAACAAGAACGCATTCATGGAGCATCGGGAAAACGTCGTGCTGGTCATGTTGACGACGAGGATGGACCGCTCAGGACTGAGGCGGTCGCTCCGGTCAGGATAGCTCGTCAGTACTGCCGATCAGAGCTTATAAACGCTCGAAAATCAACCATGGAGCCAACACCTGCTCACGTGAATGAACATCGTAGTCGCCTTTAGGTGGGCGGCAGAGTAGTATACAATGTGAGAGGTACGGGTGTATAGCGAACTCTCAGGAGCTGCTCCACGTGCTCCTGAAACGTGTGGGGCCGCCAGCACCACTCTGCTGCAGGACCGAGCCGTGAAGTTCACAACGGAGGCAGCGGCAGCTGTCGTGAACGCTGACCGTACGGTTGGCTACAGCCTCAACAGGGGAGCATTTCCACGGCATTACCACGGCCAGGTCAAGGCAGTCTCGAGTCGCTGTGACTGGAGCATGATGTGTGGGCGTTCAGTGACGTTCCCCGCGACAGAGTCCCTGTGGTCGAGCCTGTAGGGGAGAGTGGGATGAGTCGCATCATGTCTAGGTAGTATCAGAGCGATTTGTTCCAAATTTATGCGATGGATGGCAGCCTTGAATCACTCAGCTGACGCATAGCAGCTACCTGTGCCTGTGTTAGTGTGCTTCCGACCGCATTCCTGCACCCGTCTTGGGATTCACGCGACAGCTATGTGTCTTGCACATCGGTGTAAGCTATTGATCTGGATTTCAAACTGATAGCTTTTTCAGTTTTGAAATGTAAAGGCCTTACGGCATAATTAGACTAATCTGAAATCTATGCAGAGTGGTGGGAAATTGCATTTGTCGTATACACTGCAAAATGTTTGGTGTCTGCTTCCGAAGGATTTCGGGGTGACACGAACTTTTTCCAAGATGTCGGGCGATACATGCTGTATTAGCTGTGCATGTGACATACTGTACCAATGATATAACGCACCGAACCGTCAATGATTGACTTAAATGATTGTCATGACTTATTGTCATTCAGAATACAAGTCGACAACTACATTACTTGTGGGGAACCATGATTTATACCTGAGCAGCAAGACCGCAGTGGCAGCAGTAAAAGAAACGCTGATCGATAAAAAACACAAATGTGTCATGCTGCTATCACGATGAATTACGAAATAGCACAGACGAACGCATTGGGTGCACATTGGGGCGCATAAGGCGTGCTCCTCAAAATTTCATCTCGACATATGAAGCTGAAGGTGATGTGTGTTTGTAGATATAAAAAAATCAGTTCTGTCTTCACTTTTTTATAGCGTGAGAGAGCTCAGAATAAAAACCGACGCAACGTTCTTTATTCTCCCCTGGTTGGTTTCTAATGTAGTTTTGTCAGCTTCACAAAGTCTGATGCAAAACGCGTGGTAGTGTTAACATCATTGTACTGTTGTAGCCTATCACCATCGGGTAGAAGTGCGTCGACCATCGGTGTTAGAAAAAGAGCGATCAACAAAACCACGGAAAAAGGATGCAATGACCGAACGGGTGGCACCTTCGGCTCTGACTTCGGGGCTCGGGTTCTAATCCCGGCAGCTCCATGACACCTGAGGGTCACTGCAGTCGCGGGGGCTTTTTAAAAGAATGTGCCACGGTTTGCGTCGCGTTCCATCAAAAGCCAAGATGTGCGTTACACCACTTGCAATGTGAGGTTCTTGCATTCGATTAAAAAAAAAAAGATGCGCCAGCAACTATACATGGTATAGCAAACTGTACAATTACAGCTTTGTGGCATTTGATGTCGGGGGGTGGTAGTACCAGCTGGACGTGCACGGGACTGTCATATCTCTTTTGAATCTTAAAATTATTTTTCACTCTCCTGCTGGTCATAAACCACGATTTAATCCCGGTTCAGCAACGGGCGGTTAGTCGTAGGGGGCGGTTAGTCGTATTTCTGGTTCTGGAAGGAGGAGCCTACAAACTACGTTCGGTCAAGTTCGAGCCGAGATCAAGCAACATTCAGTATACAGCTTGACACTAAGCTGAGAGATCCGGTAAGAGCCAAGATCCAGCTTGGAATGTATACAGGTAACCAACAAGAAACAGTCTAGCAGTGTCTAAAGGCACAGGATGAACCAATCTCCATCCTTACCAAGATCCAGCCTGAAATATGCCTAGATTTCCTGGAATTATTCCAAGCACGTAGAACGCACCAAAGCCCAGAACACATCAGAGGGAACTAGTGAAAATGAAGGTTTTGCCTAGAATTCTTGCCAGGGACCACTTCGTCCAAGAAGTCAATGGGAATCAGGAAACCTGGTCTAAAGTTGGTGAAGGAACAGTGTCTGGTTTTTGAAAAACAACCAATGGGATCCAGGAACATGGAGTTGGTGTTTATGAAAGAACCAATGGAAACCACGGCCCATGGTTTGGTATTCCCATTCGTCCCCGTGAGCGAGAAGCCGGAACCAGAAATCTGCGTTGGGAACCAGGCGCATGTCAAATCTTGAACTCGGAAATTTGTTAATGGGTTGTGGCCATTTCTATCTCATATTTTTCCGAGCATTGTTTAAAATCAGGTCAATATCAGCGCTGGAACATGTCACCGGAAACCGATCGAAAGTCAAGCCAGTTACCACGAGGGCACAGTAGTCGGGCAGGCCCATTGAACCACCTGCGCCATGTTTGGTGTGCAGGCGCAGCAGGCACGGCAGGAGGGGATCGCCGACGACTCGGTGCTGCTGCTGCAGAGCTACCTCGGCCTCGGCTGGACTCTCGGCTGCTGCGCCTTCGGCTTCGTCGTCGTCAGAAATAATCAGGTGCGTGCCGCGCTGCCATACTGTATCAATGTTTGTAACGTGTCCTTACAGGTTTTGGTCACTCATTGCATTCTCTGGTCGCATCCCGTAATCGCTTCAGCAGAATAGTCGTGAATTCGTCACAGCTGCATAGTATGCGTCCATCTAAGTTGGTGAAAGAAGTGCTTTTATTGTCATGCATGCCTGCATGCATACATGCGTATGCGTTGATAAAAGCACGCGGGTACTGATAGATGCATTAGAAAGCATATGGATATTTTGCAATCTGGCGACATGCTGTCATTATTTTCAGGATTTTTTTTGGAGGAGGGCACCAAAGCCATAGATCAATGAGCGTGCAGCTGTAATTACTAAACTTTTGGAAATTGTTCTTTTAGAAATGGTTAAGTATTTTACGTGTTCAGAG